TGCTACGACGACGACTACTACTACAAAGCGTACTGCTATACGATCAGGAAACCATTATCAGCAATAGCTCTGACTGGAGGCACCGAGCGCACTGTTACGCAATAGTCATGACAGTGATTATGTTGACTGAATAGTAGGTGACACGAACGCTGGAAGTATTGAAGATGAGAGCACATACGGGCATAGCAGCAAGACACCTTACAGCAAAGTAACAGTTACAGCAAGAGCAACATCCACGCTGGTAGCAACAGCAATATTCACTTAGCAGCGGCTGGTGTCTCAAGTGTCTTCGATTAGACGGGATTGATGTCACGCTTCGAGGTTTCTGTTCTTTCGGACGGTTTTAATCTATGGTCCCTTCTCGCCATTGTCAAAGTAGGTGGAAACACGAATGGAAATCCTACTCTGGAACAACCTCCACATGCGCAGCATCGTTCCTCACTCCAGCTACAGCTGCCCGGCACCTGCCAGGACGGCGCGAGCGGGCAAGGTGCCCTGCAATCGAACTCATTCTACGGCTGGCTTTGTTTGATGCAACTTTTTGGCCAGTGCCATGAGCTGAGATTTGGTGACTTGCCCGCTACATCATGGTAGAGTGGGATGCTCCCAACCTCCGTCACCGCATCTACTGAAAGCAACGACTGCTGGACTCGGGCAGGATCTGGTCAGCGCCCTTTGCAGTGGAGCTCCCGGCGTGTTTTTGGCAGATGGGCAACTTGCGAACCCTGAAGCCCGGGTGCTATCGACTCGAAAATCCGACAACCCTCGCCTGCCAGGCCTCCTGACAATCGGACCTCGATTTGGGGGTGCGCTGGATGATGCCGCGAAGATGCTTCGCGGCTTACAACACTTTGCGTTTGGTCCACTAGCGCTGTGCCTACTGTTATGAATGCGACCGGCGACTTTCCGGCTTGGAAGCCTGCAAGGTTTGCCGAAGCGCACGACAGCGGCATCTCTGCCAAGGATCGTCACAGTCCAACTGCAAAAGTAGGAGGTTCCGGGCATCTGGAATCTGAGCATGGGTCGCCGAGGGTAGAGCCTGGTACGCTCCGCTCATCAGCAGTCTTGGCATCTTCCGCAATCTCGCACTCACCAAACACGAGTGGCCTTTTCAAACGTTGGGACAATGTGCATCCGAATGCATGGAGGCCTCCGGGCCTCCGGGGACAGCAGTCCAACTCCGCCCACTTTCAGGGCGGGCGGGGAAAACATGGCTGCGCAAGCAGCCGATCAGCAGCCCAATTCGAACCACACGAACAAGATCAGACTGCTGGACAGCTGTGCACGAAAAAACACGAGCCATAGTAAGGCATGCACGCAGGATAGAGAGGGCCGCAGTCACGCGTAGTAGCAGCGCAACCCTGCTTTGCAGGTTTAATTGAACAGGGTTGTGACGAGTCTGTGAAGCCGAAGGGCCCAGGGACAGTCGAAGCGGACGAAATTCACGCAGCTTCTGTGTATCCATGCGAGACGTAGCCTTCGCAGGATTTTGTCGACCAAAGCAAGAAGCAGAATAAGCTCATCATGGGTGTGGGCTCGGCTCTCATCAGGATGTCGGCCTAGAGAGTGCTCCCTGAACTTGGGCTCCAGAGCAGTCTGGTAGCCTGTTTGGATAGGTTCGGCTTCATCAACCTTTGGTGAGGTCTGGGGTAAGATGGCTTTGTAGGGACTCCGTCTGCATGGGCGTAAGAGCCTGACGTCCTGAACCCTCCAAGCCGAGACTGAGGTCATCGCATCAAGTCGCTGGCGAACCCGGACCAGCGGGCCCCAAACTCGGCTTGGATTACCCACGAAGGTGCCGCCAGCTTCGCTCATGAGGTCGTCATCATCAAAGACTTCGCCAAGAAGTTTTTCAAAGACAACAGCATACTGGACCGGCCTACCTAGATTTTTTGCGGGATCTCAGGCATGCGACGTGTGCCGGTGGTCCCTGCGGCCCTGCAGCCTGCGAGAGCACCGCACAAAGCCTAGCCTGGCTTGCAGGACTTTGCCTTGGCGGTAGAGCAGATCACCACAAGGACCCCGGTTTCGCTGTACGCGGCTTCTTGCGCCTTGTGACCTCTGCGTGCAAGGAAGCGAGCCAACCTGATCCTGAATGTGGATGGCTGCATCGCTGCGCCCCGCCTGCATTTTGGCTTCCGGCAGAGAACGAACTTTCTGCATTCGCAATAGGGTCATCCGTCGCAGCCCTTAAGGTATGCTTCACTGACATGCTGCGCTCCTGTGGAGCCTTCTCAAGAGAAGAGGCGACCCGTATGAGAGGGAGTGGAAGCAGGTTGGTGCTGTGGATGCCTGCCAGTGCTCATGACGCGTCGAGTTGGATCAAGGCAGATGAACTGATGGCTTTCGGCTGCCTCAACGGCCTCTTTGTGCTCGGTCGTTCCATGGGCGACACGGCCGCAGATGGTTCGGCAGGGGCATGAGTTTGAGATGTAGAAATAAACTTCACAGTCCTGTGGTCTTCTCCACCCGACCAGACAAAGCTTCCTCTTATGTTGGCTGCCTAAGCATCGACTGAGGCTTCATCGGCCACCACCTGGATCAGTTGAGGTGGGGGGCTAGGATGCCTACTGTAGGGGCCTTAATTAGAATAGGGTTTTGGGGGGTTCCTTATCATAGTTATAACATAATATACCCCAAACCTATTAGAATTATTAAGGCCCCCCAAACCCTAAACCCTAAACCCTAAAAGGCCCCTACATTACAGTGACCGCCCGGGGGCAGCTGCTCCTCTTGATCCCAGCAGCCCTACAACGATCCCTTGCAGGCTGAAGCAGCCGCTCTACCGGCATCCCTGGGATGCAACTTGCCTTCTCATTCCCGTCTAGTATGACGACGGCGGAAAGGGTTTAGGGCTTTTAGGGTTCAGGGTTTTGAGTTGCTTTTGTCTCTTCAGGTGTCGGTTTCTGCCGGCAGGACGTGTTTGTGTAGCACCTAGCTTGTACAGAGATCCAATCAGGACATCACCTACATCTCTGAGCTGGCATGACCGCTCGGTCTCGGGCGCTCCGAGACTCTCACAAGCCGCGTGCCAGCTGCCCCGCAGGGCCTTTTTGACAAGCCTGTTTAGAGAGAGCAAAGCGGGGCTTCTCAAAATCAGGGAGTAGTTTGAAGGTTCTTTTTGCCTCCTGAGCCTACGGTGTGCTGTCCCTTCAGATTTTGAGAGGCCGCCAAGTAGTGATGAAGTTTCGATAGGTGGCTACACGAGAGATCCTTGCTCCTGGCAAAGTATGGCAGAGTAGCCTCAGGAAGCATCAACGAGACTCTGCTTCATGGCTACGGCTACATGTGCTGTTCGTGGTTCCCGCACTACTAAAGCCCGGACCGACAGCCACCTCTGCTGAGAGGGGAGATGGTGCCAGAATGTCTCAAGGAGCGCGGCTCCCGATTGCGCCGGTGGATTTGTCGGACTCTTCAGGTCAACCCTGAGTCTTCTGGTCTGTGTCAGGCATGCAATGCTGTACAATAGCGAGAACCACAATCGTAGCGCTCATCATAATGATGCAAGTTTCGCTGTTGAGGATAGTAACTTCTCGGATAGTTTCCATATTGGCTCGGCGAATTGCAACAACGAAATAACAGCGAAAGCAACGGTTAGAGTGACTATAGCTATGGAAAGGACAGGTCAAAGTCGCAATGCCCGTGGTTCGTATAATGAGACCCATGTAAGTTATCTCAATGACAATGCTAGTAGCGGCGGCACGCTATTCCTGGCAATAGTATGTTTTAATTCGAGTATTATCAATCATAAGAGACTGAAGCTACGGAGCATCATAGAGCATCTTTGACCGGATGACTGCTGACATCTGCAAATCCAGCGAGTCTCTCATGGTTTTTCAGTTTTCCCGCATGGAACGACGCACAGATTATTGATTGCATCGAGGTTTTCCCTTGGCCCTGCATTGGGTTGGTGTCCAAGTGACGAAACGCAAAGAATCCTCTGACCCTCGTTCCCATCTCCGTTTGTGGAGAGACACGCCACCTGCCGGCTAGGTGACTGTGGCATGTCTTGACATTCGACCATGTCGCAGTGCACTCGCCACGTCTGGCAGCTGCTGATGCTGTTCATCCATTCTAAACCGGCCAGCAAAGAGCTTGTGGGCACCCACCCACCAAAGCTCGTCACCCGCCACCGTGGTGCTACACATGAGCCATCAGCCTAGCCGCTAAACCCCCCGGCCTCAAACTAGACTCACTAGACCCCACTCCTTCAAGCCATGCCGACGCATGCCGAAGTCATCGCGCAGAATCCTCTGGAAGCACCTGCAGACTTCTGGACGAATGTCACCCGACCCTCATTCAGACAGGTCAAGGCTGTCCAATCGTTGCACTCTTCATGTCTGCTCGAACAACAGTTTGTAGCCCAAGGTCTACTATGCTGCTTGGCCCACACTTACAGCTGGCAAAGTGATGGCCTTGTCTGGCCAGCCAGTGTTGTGCATAAAGAGTGCAAGAGCACATGGTAGAAAAGCGTGTGCCAGCATGCACACATGTATGTATGTAATCCAGTTTCTATTGGGGGTGCCGTTTAATATTAGGGGAAGGAACTTGCGGGAAGGGACTATGTAGGTATGGTATGTTCTGGTCTTGCCTGGTCTGATCTTGTCTCGGCTGGTCGGGTCTGGCATGGCAGGGCGGCAAGGCACGGCACGGCATTTAATGCTAGGTCAACTGCATAGATGGACGTGGCGACTTCCTCCCTCCCGTGACTGTGCAGGTCTTCAACGGGCTGGCGGCCTTTTGTACGGTTCTGCTGTTCTTCGGCACATTTGTCTGTTGCTGCCTCACGGCCATCAGCCGGATAGAGCAGTGGGAGAGACTCGGCTGAAGGAGAAGCAGCGGGCTCTTCCGCGGTCTTCCCCTCCTCTTCATTTCCTGTCCGAGGCGCTCTGGCGAGCAGCCGGAGCGGAGCGTAGCAGAACCCAGCAAGACGGAATGAGCGAAGGCCGGAGTCATGGGATTCGTCTCAGTGACGCATCGAAGCGAGCTTGTGGGCGACTTGACCTTCTCGTTTTGAGCGTTGAGGTTCTGGAGTCTGGATTTCGAAGCCTGGGTTGAGGATAGAGAAGAATCCTTGAACTTGCGGACAAGCCCTCCGTCATCGAAGGCCCGGACAGCGGCCAAAGATCCGATGGTGCACGGACTGCGAGCGCGTTCCGCACGTCCACGAGCCGAGAGCCATGCGCTGGCAAAGTCGCAGCGCTACGAAAGCACTGAGCCCTGCAGAGCCCGAGCTGCCAAGCTTTGCATTCCTCGGGTACGGGCAGACGACGACTCAGAGCCTGGCAGAGAAAACGGGCTGTGCTGTTCAGGTTTGGGTAGTGAGAATTCGAAGGTTGCCGCTTCCCAGGCCGATGCAGGAGCCTGGAAAGAAGCGTGTGGTTTTCGGATTTCCAAGGGGTGCGGTGGCTCTTCCGGCATTGTCTTCGATGAAGCGCAGGTGCTGCAACTGCGCCACGGGCTTCCCGGACTGCAGAAACGGTGAATCTGATGGCCAGGCACGGGGGCTACTCCTAGGCCTCAAGATCCTTCTCAGATGACCTTCCAACCACTCCAGTGCATCTCACTTTTGTATTGCAGACGCTTGTGCCGGGTCTCCTCAAAACAAGATAAAGCCCGGCAGCCCAAACGCTACCCCCCGGGCGTCTCAATCCCGAATTTCCGAACGGCACGGCCCTGAGCCACCGCACCTTCGCAGGGTGGTGACAGTGGCAGGTGCAGCACGGCGGTCTCAGCAGGCGAGCACCGCTGGGGCTTGACCCGAGTTCCGAACCAGAGAGTCACAGTTGGCTCCCGTTCGATTCGAAGCAAGACTACGTTCGCATCGACCCCGTGGTCATGCAGCCAACCGTGTAATGCCGAAGTGGGCGCTTGCCAGCAACAGAGTGCAATCGCAGTGCCATGTCTATAATGGTTTAATATGTCATCCACATCAGTGCCACCAAATACTGCGGAACTTTCATCCGGCTGTCTTGCAGGTCCCGAAGGCAGCGGCGAAGCCGGCGGCGAAGCCAGCATCACCCAAGCCGAAGTCGAAGCCTGGTGCCAAGAACTCCTCGGGGCCATGAAACAGCCAGAGGTTGCTTTCCCTGCGACCGTGTGGCTTTCGTCTGCAAAGCTTCAGTCTCAGCTTTTGCCACAGGCCGCCAGCCACGGCTTTCAGTGCTTGGCCCCGGGTTGTGGCAGCCAGCGAAGGCGAAGGGAGGGGGAGTGGGCCTGGGTGGCGAGGTCGAAATGGTGTCCCCGTAGAGGGAATCGGGCCCGACGATTTGCACTCTCAGCTTCCGATCTCGAAGATTCAGTCATGTACATCGTTTACTTTCGAGTTGTTGACGCTTTGCAGGTGCTGACGATAGTTGGACGACGGACACGAGCCGGACAATCGGGAAGGGCAAAGGCAAAGCTGCCAAGGGCAAGGCCGGCAAAAGTCTGTACCTTAAGAAACCCAAACCTACTTTTTTGTAGGGACCCCTATAAATCCCATACTAGGGTTTATAATAAGAGCCTACAAGAAAGTGGGCTTTGGGTTCTTAAGGTAGTCTGCAGTGTGCTTAGGCGCTCTGCTCTGGAATCGCTCTGCAGACATGCAAGGACAAGGGGCACGAGAAAGGCCAGGACCATGTACCCGAAAAGGGAAAATCGAAAGGCAAGGAGAAGGGTGCGGAGAAAGGTGGAGAGAAGGGGAAAGAGAAGGGCAAGGATAAGGGCAAAGAGAAGGGAAGAGATAAAGGCGCAGCGGTGAAGGGTGCCGAGAAGGCGGCCCAGCAGGGTGAGCAGAAGGCTGAGAAAGGCCATCAGAAGGGCAAAGAGAAAGGCCATGAGAAGGGAAAGGGTAAGGCCGGCAAAGCCCAGGCAAGCCGGGCTGGCACAGCCCAGGGAAAAGGCTCGGGCAGCTCCAAGCCGGAACGCAGAGATGCCAGCGACTCCTACGGCGACTTCCTCAGTGCTTTAGGACCCGTGGGTTTCAGCACTTTCGGTGTGTGACAGGGCTTTAAAGGTAAGCCGGTGCGACTCTGCTGAGGCGATGTGGGTGATGTCTGGAAGCTGCTCTGAGCCTTGCTGGCCTCCTTTTTCCAAGCCGCCTTTGACTCATGCCCCGCTTTGAAGTGCCCCTTAGAGGCCGCATCGGTGTCTCAGCTGAGACTCGCTTGACGTGGGCGGGAAAACTGCAAATTGCATTCCCGTCAGCTCTCGCTGCTGCATGGAACTGAGGGCTCGGGGTCCCCAAGAAGCCTCGTGGGGTGCCTGGCGCCTGAAGTAGGATTGAAGCGTGAGCGTCTTGGACCTGAAACACATGTCACATGCCCGTCTGACCGCCAGCTGTTTGCGGGCTCCAGCAATTTTGCAGCTCAAGGGGCACCCGGAGGCGTGGGGGCTTTGCTCAGCCGCTAAGCAAATTTGCTAGCTTCCGGAAGATCGCGAGTGGAACTGGGAGCAGTCACTTTTCACGTGCATCGACCTTCTGTCTCCGTGCGCGAGGAGTCTGGAGCACGCTTGCCGGCCAGCATGCCGCTGAAACTCTACGCCGCAGCAAGCGATTACAAGACCAAGAAGGCCGCTTGAACCAGTGCTGACCGTGCCTGCATCAAGCTGTCGGCTGGTCCAAAGTATTGCATACATCGCTGGACCTGTGCGGAATCGAGTTCGTCGGCGGTTCTCCTTCCGGCTTCAGCATTAGCTGTAAGAGACATGACTGAGTCGCCCTCTCGCCAATCAGGTCCTGATTGCTGCGCAGTATGTCGGCATGGAGGCTGTGCCTGACAGATCGGACACACTCTCAGGCGAAGAAGTAGGCTGCAGGGTCTGCAGGGTACGAGTAGTGAATTAGTCGCGAATTTCTCAGATCCTAGGTGCTATAGGGGTATGTGTGGCGCCACGACAGGTCTCCTGCCCAGAGCAGGGCAAGGCTGAGGGGAAGGCTTGGGTTCAGGGGAGGCTTTGACGTCCCTTCAGAAGCCTGGTCTGGTCCAGATCCCTGTGCTCGAGACGGAGAAGGGCTGCATCTTCACGAGTGGAGCCATTGCCAGGTGGGCTCGGGAGGGGGTACGATGCTGCAGTGCTTTTTTCTCTGGGGCATCTGAAGCCAGGTATGTTGCGAGGATTAGCCGCCCCGTGGGGCTGTACGGGCAGAACCTCTTGGAGGCCGTGAGCTCCGATGCTCGTAGGTGGGGGCAACTCCTTGCGATTCTGCGCCTGCGGGATTGAGTGCAAAGTCATGCAGCATCCGGGTGAGATTGAGCCCGCCAGGGCGGAATGATCGACTCCTGGATTGAGTTCTGCACCCACGAGCTTGAGGCCGGGCACAGAAAGTGCAGAAAAAGGATCTCCGGCGTAAGACCTCCTCCGCGCCCTTCCTGGAAGCCCTTTCCCAAGCTTGCAGGTACCTCTTTGCACCTGGGTCCTCCCGGCATTGCTGGCGAGCTTATAGCCCTGGATCGGGAGGTTTGCTGAAAGGAAAACCCACACTTTTCGTAAACATAATAGTGGCCATCATTGCCACTGATGATTGCAAATACAAGCGAAGAGCCTACAATTGCTAGTGACGCCAGTAGGGTATGATGCTGGTGTTAGTCTTCTAGGTTCCGGGTGATTGGGTTTTTCTGGAAGTTCCCGCTGGTCGGCCAGATGATGGGCAAGTACCCCGAAGTGCCTGAAGCCACAGCCTGCCAGAGCCCTAGAACCGCCAGAAAAGCTATGGAAGTCCATTGATATCACAGACCCAGCCGGGGTCTTTAGCCCTCGGGTTTCGGAGCAGATTCTGGTGCGGGTTCCCGTTCCAAAAGGTTCCGGAGCCGGTTGTGAAACGGGTTCCGGAGTGGGTTCCAGAGCCGGTTCGTTGCGGAGACTTAAAAATTCGAAACTCGTATCACGAGCGAAGCAATCTTGCCACCAGCTGTTGGGGACTTCAGGGGGCTCGTTTCAATCAAGCGGCAGCAATAACTGCGACCATTGTTGTGTTAATTCGAATCATTGTTACCTTTCCTGTTGCTATCATTGTTGTTATGAAGCCCATCGTCCTTGACTTGAGATCATCCCACCGATGTATTGATGCAACCGACCAAGCCGCTAAGCCGACCAAGGTGCAAAAGAAGACGTGAAGTCATGGGCTCAGGATACTAAGCTAAGCTGGTCAGCACCTGCTATTTTGGCCGATTCCTAGCAGAATTCAGGGACTGTCGGTTGACACCGACGCTCCAGAGCTGAGTTGCGTAGCTTCAGCGCAGATCTTGTTTTCCTGCTTGCTGTCCATTTTTGTCCTTACCCGTTTCAGGCGTGCGCTCACGGTGCTGAACAACCATCTCCTGCACAACACCTTCATGGTCGCTCTCCGGGTTGCAGAGTTTCAGGGCAGTAGGTCCTGGTAGAGAGAGCACTGGACTAAGCTTGAACCACTATGCAATAATCGGGGAAGCAGTCTCAGGATCAGCAGAGATACGCTAATTCATGCGAGGAATGCAAATGTTAGCAATACTGGACTGGAGTCGGGTATCCTGCAACGCTGTCGAACTCTAGCAGCTACGAGCCTAATCAACCAGTAGGAATGGAGTCTCTTCTCGTGTCAATCCCGGCCCTTCTTGCTGTTGCGATACCCCCGCCTGTGGAGTTTGCCCTCGACAGTGTTACCAGGCTTGGTATTACTAGTAGTTATGTTGTTAACGCTAATAGTCTGAATCATGTTACTGTACATGATAATGCTACCTGAGTTGGAGACATAGTAACCATGACATCTGGTAATGATGGTGTTCCTCACAATAGCAACAGAAAGATTGAGAAGAAGCAAGGTCGTCGCAGCGGTATCGGTAATCGGATGAAGAACCACACACTTTTGGTGCGCTTCTCCCTGTGGTGCCATCGAGCTCAAATCTCGAGAGCTAGTGAGGGGGGAGCACAGCTCTCCCACCTCAAGCAGTGGTGCTTCCTTGAGCGAAGCCTGGAACTCGGGGGGACAGAGAAAGTGGTTCAAGAACCGTCGTGTGAGGAATGGCTACTGTTAGGTGGAGGCCACCGCAAGTGCACTGTGTAGATCTGGTGTATAGTAGACTTGGATTGCCATTACTAGCCTTGTTTTCCTCCTTCGTTTGCATGCTCTGGCTGCCATTGCCCAGAGCCTAGCGCACATAGAGCCTCGCCTGTAGCTCAGCACAGCGTGGCGATGACCTGACCCTGTATTCCTAAACCCTAAACCCTAACCTAAACCCTAAACCCTAGCCGGTTTTGGTGGAATCGTGGCTCCATCTTTCCACAGACCAAGGGAAGCGATCGACGAACCCAGGAGTTGAGTCAGGATCAGGCGGGCGCATTCCCACATCGCGGCCAGTACGAGCCACGCCAAAAGTTGGGTAGGTCCGGCAGCTTCGTTTCAACAGCAGCAATGTAGAAAGCGGTGATGACCCTGTTCTTGGATGACACTAATTGTCGGGAACTCACACTTGAAGATCAGATTCGCTGTCTGAAGTTCTCCTGGCCAGGCTGATGCAGAATTGTCCGCAACCGTGCTTCAACAAGGCTGGGAATCCCGCGGGCCCTGTGGCTATCGGCCTCAATTAGGGGTACGATGCTGAACATGCCTCCCATGAACACAAAGCTGAAGACACCGTGTGCAGAGTGTCTCTTGCAGCTTGCAACACGCGGCCAGCAAGTTGGGGCCACGGCCGGAAAGTGCGCAGCAGAAGCCGAAGTAGCGAAGCCCAGCACTTTGTCTTTGCACGAGGCCGCTGCCAATCCTTTGGCGGGCCTCAAGCACAGCGTCCTGTCCGGGCCTTGGGTCGGCTACTGCCTTCACAGGATTTGTAAAGATTCGCGTGGAATGCCTGGGCCGCAACACATAGCAAAAAGCTTGTAACTCGGCCATGGGGTGGGGTCGTAGCGCTGCCGATTAGCAGAGATTCCTAGTAGGATCCCTAATATGATTTAAGGTATATTCCTTAATTAAGGGATATTGGAGTCTCTGGGTTCGTCGGGCGGGCAGTGTGCGCAATGTGGATCACTTTCGTCTGAGGCTTGCTGATCCATGCCTGGGCGATTCCATCATCATTGGCTGCTCCGAGCTATGGCAGCAGGCAGCAGGAGGTTCCGGGCTTCCGGGTTTGAGGTTTAGGGTGCTTTGCTGCAGGATACTGTGCCATACATCGTATCGCCAAGGATGGCTTTGAGGAGCTCAGTGGCTTCACCAGGCAGCCGGAAAATTATCGACCACATCTCAGTCTTGCACTGCATGTTGTAGAAGATTTCGGTCTTTGCGAGAGTCATTGACCATGCTGAGCCATACATCCGCACCCGGCTGTTTGCATTGCCTTGAGCTGCAACTTCCAAGTCTGTGCACGCCCCTGACTCATCCATCTCCGTGTCGATTCTGAGCTTATCATCCCTGGTAAGAGCCAGTAGCGATACTTGGTGCAGGATGGAGGTCCTCGGTCAGCCGTGCCGATTCATGATAGAGGCCGACACGGACGGGAAGTCGGCTAGAGAGTCTGCCACTACATGTCCTTGTGTCGCCAGGGTTGCTTCAATCAGCCGTCCTTGATGGAAGCGATGAACTCTGCAATTGCAACCGGTGATGAGTTTGTGGCTGAACTGCACATGGTAAATAAAATAGACGGGTTGGGCAGCTGCTTGCAAGAGACCTGAATGTCCGGTTCCTTGTATGTCCGTCCTGAAAGCACAGAGCTGACAGCAATTTTCCGCATTGCCCTGCATCCGAGTTGGGAGTAACGGTGAGCAAAAGGAAGTCTGGGGAACAGCCCTTGCCTGAGCATCCGCTTGCTTGCAAAGAAGGAGGTCCGGGAGCTTGCAGTTTGAGCATCCTGCGCTTGTCATGTGTTCAGGTTTTCCAATCTCCTGCACATGTTCAGCATACTCTGTGGCGGCAAGCGATATCTCTTGCTCGTGCAGGCGGAAGCAGATTCACATCCACAGAAGCGGCGTGTTGTCGTTGAGGGATCGAGAGAGAAAGAGGTATAAAGAGCCAGGGAAACAGAGGGAAGGAGAGGGAGGTGACCTCTCGAACACAGACGAGCCCTACTTCCCTAATGTGCCACATAGGGAGGAGGGCGCCTTGGTGCGGGTCTGCACGTGCAGACCTCGACCCACTGGAAGAAGAGGGAGGTGGGAGGGGCAACTTCCCATCACAATTGAGGGTGAAAGAAAGAGGGAGACCTATCCAGGTATGTTTCTGCAGGTTTCTGGTATGCTAGTGAAGCCCGCAAGCAAACGAGCGACGCGAGGCGGGGAGCAGCATCGGTTAATGTGGTCTGCCACAGGTAGCAGGTTTGAGACACCAAGGCAGGCAGCAGCGCACGAAGATCTTGCGAAGCTTCAGCACAAGTGGTAGCAGGCGTATCCCAAAGCACCCATAGAAACTTTAAGGCTCTGTGGGCCTCGAATGCAAAGATAAGACTTTAAGAGCAAACCCGCCGATGGTGGGCGACTCGAAAAGTTGCCGGACTGGGCCCGGTAGTCAAGGCTCTGGATGCTCCGTGACTACTCAGCGAGATACCTGTCCGAATTCTCAGCCATTGTGGTAGCTGAAGAGATGTGGACGAGTTTCAGGGCCCAGGGCTTCAAGTAGAATGCAATGCCAGCAGAGGCAGACGGACAGTTCGCGTGCCCATGGGCGCCCTTTCGACTAGATGCTAGCACGATGTTCCCAGCTGCGTGAATCATTGTAGACCAGGAGTCGCAAGAGTCGGCAATCCGCGTCAGCTCAGTATCCAGGCTATCGGCAGCACTTAAGAAACGCTGATCTGCAGGCTGATGTCTCAAACACCGCGCTCAATTTGGCTGATCCAGCGCATGTTCGCTCCTCAGCCTCAGTGCATACTTCTACTTCGAAGCTACAGATTTCCTAGCCATCAGATCGCATCCATCTCATCGCATCTTGCAGGAGACGTTTGCCGAGGGTTCAAAAACAAGCGCGACAAGTTAGACGCTGGATTTCGAAACGAAGAGTCACTTCGAAGCACGTGCGTTGCACAATCGATGTGGGCATTTGCTTTCCGTGGCATGACCCATGCCGTACATGACTCGGATAGAATGTGCAGCCTTGCAGTCTCTGTGTCAAGGTCTCTCACTTGCGTCAGGCCGGGAATTTAATTTGGGGTGTGGACGAAGTTGCTTACTGCCGATAACCAGAGTCATAGACCATCTGCATGAGCTCTCATCTGCAGCTTGTGATGCATTGCATTCTGCAAGTTGTTTGGAACCAT